ATAGGTTGCATATTTGTCTTCAGCTGCATTCCAAAGTAGTGCCCAGGCAATTTGGATAGCCTGTTGCCACTTCCATATGTGGTAGGTACAAGGAAGATATCCCAGTGTTGGGGAAAAGCTTGCTTTGCTTCCTCTCCCTTTCAGACTCTTAACACATAGAAACTTATGAAACCTGTTGGATAACGTTGCTTTCAGCAAGGACACAAAGGGATCTCTGAGGTGCTTTTCTTCCTGGTGGTAAGAGGAGTGCCTCTTGTTGGTGTTTTATTGAAAACTCAATTCAGTTTTCATGCTCCAGAATCACATTTCTGAAGGGGCCTTTATTATTGAGAGGGGTTGAGTACCTGCAGCTTCTACTGGCTTCTGTGTTGGCCTGAATCTGAAGAGGTTGATGTTTTGGCTACTGTCAAAGGAAATGGGGAAAGAGGGAGCCCAAGTGTGGCTTGGAGGGATGTTTGCTGTGCCAAGATAGACATCTACTGTCCTGGTTTAGAGAACTAAACATCTCCAACAAAGTACCCCAACTTTGTTGAAGAGTATGGTTATTGGTGAATTAAAGAAAAAAGGCTTGTCGTGCTGCCAAAGCTGTTGCCTTGCAGAATGCTGTTAATTACATGTTGATAATCACAATTACAGCTTTATATCAATACAAACCCCAGTCTCTTGGGTTTCTACTGGTTTGAGTATTCATGTTTAGCTATGTTGAGTCAGCTTGTCTTAATTCTGTTTTTCTCTTATCCCTAAAGAGCTAGTATCCTATTGTTGAGCTTCCCTAGATTGTGTCAGTAGCCAAACCCAAAGCTGTGTATCCTTGTAAGTCTGTCTTGCCTTTGAATGTATTTCTGTTGTAGGTCTTGATTTGCCAATGTCTTGGTGCATCTTGCTTTTGGGGCTGTTGAGGTAAATTACAGCAGACCTGGAGGCAAATCCTTATGACACTTCACAGAGGATTTGCTATCACGGTTTATATCATATAATGGAAGTTTGGTGGGTTGTTAGCTTGTTTGCTCTTTACAAGTGAAGACACCAGCTCTTCCCCTGAGTTGTGTAATGACTTTGCATTTCCTGATGGGCTTCTCTTGCGCTCTGTGCTTTTGGCCAGCTCTAGCACCCAGCTACGCTGCCATGCTGAAGGAACAATCGGAGCCTGCAGTGAAGGAAGCTGCCCTTCCCTTTTTCCTAGTTCCAGAGTAGGGCTGTGCATGAAAACAAATATCCAGTTTGCACTCTGTTCTGTTTTCTTCTGTTACCCCTAAACCACGCTGAGCAGCACTCTTGTGCTTGATATCCCAAAGCCAAACTTTAAAAAGCCTTCAAGGGTAGGAGCCTTTGGCAGCTGGGAGCTGTGAGTTCCGGCAGCTCTTGTGGAGTGTTTTTTACAGTCTTCCTGTGGATTAGCTGACTCCCTGGCCTGGCACACATTTCTCTAATGCTGGTTGGCACTGCTCCAGGCTTGTTAGCTCTGTTTATTCTTGGTCAGGCTAGGCTGCTGATCATGCTTGGCTCTGGCAGTAGCTGACGTACATGCATGTCCCTGAGGATTTAGGTTTTTTGTCACTTCCCTCCTTCCTCAAGCTGCATGTACAGGAGCTTTGTCTCTGAAACCTGTGAGTTTTCTCTGCTGTGGCTGGAGGGACGAGCAAATCCCTATTCGTGTGTCTTGGATGTTTTAAACTGTTCTTTGGCCAGCTGGTCGTTAGGCTCAAATCCGATGGGTTGGATCTGGCTCAGGAAGTTTCTTAGATGTTTCTGTTGCAATATCTGTTGTGAATTAACTCTGAATGTACTTTTGTGCCTCTGAATTCTGTTGAGACAGCATACACTTTCAAAGGTCGTTACTTTTCACTGATAACACAGTTCCACTGGCTTTGGGACTTACTGCACAGAAATTCAAACACTGCACCAAGAAAGGGAAAGAGAGAAGTGGAGTGGTATCTTTTTCCTAGGTCTGGATCACTTTTACCTAAGGGGATTATTGGAAGAGCTTGTTTTCACCTAGAGCATACTGTCCTTACTGCTTTCAGTCCAACTTTTTTCCCTATTACAAAATAGAAGATACTGCCTTGAATTATACCTTTGAATAAACTATTGATACCTGGTATTTTGATGTCTATTTTGCATTTTGTGTTGTTTGATTTGTTTTCTGCTCCCCCCCAAGACAAATGAAATTAAAACCAATTCCCTCTTTCTGTAGGGATAATCCATATTTGAACTGGAGTAGGATGGTTTGAGAAGACCCAGATACGGTTGCATGGTTTAATCTTAAGGACAGAGTATTTGTTAAAAATCCAGTTTTGATTATTTGAAACCATGAATTCAGATCAAGCCTCTTTAATAGGTCCAGGTGGAAAATGCTTTTGGATCCAGATGAAGGAAATCATTGGAAATGGTGGCAGGAATTCCTACTGTAGCAGGGTGCTTAAAAACTTTTTAGGAAGGAAGAAAGCTAAAGTTCAGTTCCTTCCTAACCATGAAATAGCAAGAGGATGTATATGAGTATGGTCTATAAAATAAATCTGATTGAAGTGGCCAAGTAACACAGGCTTGCTGCAGGAATGTCAAACAAAAGCCAAACCCACTACATCAGAGAGAAACTGCTCACAGTAAATCTCCAACAGAAGTTACTGAAGGTGATAGATTACTGATGATTTCACAGTTGCAGATTTTAAAATATACTCTTATTTTATACCAAAATCAACCAATTAAAAGCTGAAAAATCACCAGGGATTCGAAGAGCAGGAAAGTTCATCTTCCTTTTTCTGGGAGAGGAAAGGAGAGCAGAGAAGTTCTGTATGAATCCAAGGTTTTTCATTAGTGGGTCTAAAGCACTGGAGATGATGGTGACCAAAAGCAATAAATTCAGTTTGGACAAGTATCTCCTTTTTGCTTCATACATTACGTTTTTATGCATATGCAATGCTGCTGGACCTCAGGAAACATGCTCATGGCTTTCTGTATTTTTTAAATTATATTATGAAATAGTTTGATACTAACTTAATAGTCTAAACCACTGTATGACTGAAAATGTAGGCTTTTGATATCTGTTGGTATTAAATATATATATAAAAATATCGATTGAATAACAGAAAAATATAAATATATATTGAATCTTTTTATACTGATGAGGGATGACATTATTATATTTAAGTAATTGTAAGTAGTAAATTGACTTTCCAGAGATGATATTGGCTAAAATGAAAGAAAGTCTTGAAATAGTTAAGAAACTGTTTGCACTTGTAAAGAACCCCCTGAAGTAATAAAACAAAATTGATCATTTAAATCACAATAGAAATTGCTTTATTACCTAGAGTTAAATCAGTCCACCTGACAGATTGCTAAGGGTTCGGGTATTTGCACTCTTTTTGAGTGTATTACTTCATTTCCATTTGTGTTAACCTCTGCTGGAGCTAGAAGCTGAATCACGAGGAGCACTGTAACCACCAGAAGGCTGTTTTCTGTAAATGAATACTTGGAAAACTGGAAGGGCTTTGGCAGAGCGCAGGAGAGCTCCTGGCTCTGTCCCCTGCCAGTATTCTGAAGTGAATTTGAAATAAATCCTCCTTCTGACTGTTTCTCAGGAGTGGAACAAGGTTAAAAGTAGATTCTTCCCAGAATCCCTCGTCTCCCACCCGCTGTGTGCTCTCTGCAGCAGGACAATTGTGTGTGGACAGAAACCAGAACCGGATTAGCTACCCGTGCATCGAGGGGATGCCTCAGCTCCAGGCTACTGAGCAGAAAGAGAACCACTATTAATTTGCCAAGTCTAGTGGTTTGATTGTCTTACAAAGCCGTGATTTTTCTATACTGAATGGCATAGTTTGTGTGCTATAGAAATATCTTTTGCTCAGCAAAACTTAGTGAATCACTTTGATTCTTTTTCCATTTGGGGGGCAGGGGAAGGCAAGAAGGCAAATTCGTAGTAAGAATGTATATAGTTATTCCTGGTTTGGGGGTTGCAGGATAAACTAGATGACTTCTGTGGGTATCTTCTAAATCTATTTTCTGTGGTTCTGACGATATCTACTGAGCTTCAACTTACGTTTGAAGCAAGTAACTTCTATGGCTTAGAATTGATCATTCCTAACAAGCTCCCATCACTGGAGGTTTTTGGTCTCCCGGGCCAAATGGAAAACAAAGCTTTTTTCCCTTCTGTTATTGCAATAACCTATTCCTGTTTGAAAGCAGCAATCTCCCATCAGCCCGTCCTAGACTGAAGAAGCCCTGGACCAAGCTTTTTCTTATAGACTCTATTTTCTAGACCTTGGATCACTTTTGTTGGTTCAACCTGTTTGGCACAGGCCTTTGTTTTCAAACACTGCTTCCTCCCACAGACACCAGGACAAATAGATCTACAGTGGGGGGGGGGGGGGTGTAGCTCAAATGTTGATAACTAAAGGTGTGTATTGAGATGAATTTGAAATGTGGGGAAGTTTGATGCTTTGAATCTTCTTTTAGCTTTTCAGCTGTGAACAGTCAGGTTTGTACACACAGCAGCTGAATTTGGGGGAGATGGGAGAGGAGATCAGTAACAAAAGTCAGTTTCGCTATAGTAAAAGAAGGAAGACAAGAATCTCCTCTGTCTTCTCCAGTTTCTGGCAGTTACAGAAAGCTAATGATAGGGCCTCAAAGGTGAGAACCCTCCTCCACTAATCCTGCAGACTCCTGGGAATGTCTCTTTGATGGTGTCTCCATCAGCATTGAAATTCAGCAGCTCACTATCAGATTTAAGGAGAAATAGTTGCCAACTGCCTGTTTGTACACAAATCACCCTGTCTGTTCAAGAGCCCAAAAATCCAAAGGAACAATGAAGCATTTTGCAGGTGAAAGCAGCTACATTCCTCAGGGCAGTATATCAGCTACAGGACACCAATGAGGAGCCTTTATATTTAAGGAGGAGTTGGACATTCCAGTCTGGACTTTTTTTAGTTGACTTGTGCAGCTTGTCCTTTAGGGCACTGTTATCAGAGCATTATTATGTCAAGGTAACTGGAATTACTCACACAGCCCAGTATGTGGTAGGCTTTCCACATGAGTGAGACAGGATCCTTCCCTGAGGAGTTCCACGGTCTGCACAGACAAAAGTAGCAGTGCATTACCAGATCAGAAGTCACTATTCCAAAACCATATATAACCTGTGAAGTTTAGGTTGAATTTCTTTGCTTTGCTTCTCAGCCTACACACATTCAGGAGGTCTGCAGCCATTAGGCAAGTATGGTGGAGATAAAATTCTGTCTCCATCCTAACGTTGTGCTTGGTGATGTTGGGTACCCAGAAGTTATCACTGTGCGGGTATGAAGTTCTGCTGCTGCTTATAAGTAAGATGCATCGATGAAGATGAGCTTCACTTCACTGTTCATTTTGATTTACTCGAGCTGTGTGCAGGAGCTTTCACTCGGAGCTATGTGCATATCAAACAGTATTAGTTTCAAAGCTCAAGTGAGGGGCTGACTTTCAACAGCAGCAAAGCACGTGTTATGTATAAGTGCCTTGGAAGTACAATGAGGTGTTGGGATTGTACTAAAGTATTTGGAATGCTTCCAGACTGCACCCATGCTGAAACAAAGACTTGATGCAGACTTCAGGCCTCTTCCCCAGCTTATACCAGTCCCACACATACCTAAGTGCCTGTCTGTGCCAGGATAAATTTGTCTGTCTTAGGGCTGGTAGTTATGCTGAGCAATACATCTGTCTGTAGACATGCCTGAACCGTGTGGTAAAGAGGGTGTCTGGATGTGCAGCCTAACCCCAGCTGGTTTAAGAGGTTAATCACTGGAATATCACAATAGCTGTGGTGCATTTCTGTGGGGATAAAACTAACGGCTGCGACTTGGTTTGCAATAAATTTCACATTAAGTCATTGTCGAGGTTTTTCGTTTGCTGGTTTTTATTTGCTAGGTACATTTTTCAGGCTTCTTACTGGCAAAAAGAATACTGTCCAAATCTAAACCATAGCAAGGAAACATCGCAACTCCGCTGTGATGGCTGCACGTTTGTAGTGGAAATGCTGTCAGCATTTGCAAGAGAGAAGATGCTGGTATCTGACTTTAGATGGTGTTAAATTTGCTGCAGTGCATTTTGGCCCCTGGAGATGGTATCAGTAAAATTACATAGAAGAGGTTCCCCCCCACGCACCTGTTTATCAGCATCTCTGAAGTACAGTCATTCTGGCAGGAATTCAGATCTAGAATGTATGAACACATTAACAGCTTTTCCAGAGCACTATTATCAGAGCTATTGTGTTCTCACACAATAAAGAGACAGAAAAAAAGGCAAGAGGTAACAAGAGAATTCAGTATAGGAAAAGGTAATTTACGGGGGCCTGCTGCAAAAGTGGAATCATTTTGATGTTTCCTGTTTAAATAGGCATTTGACTGTGTGTCCTTTGGCTTTAAGGAAGTCTCAGACAAAATCCCTTCCCAGTTGCTTAGCTGTCTGGGTGGTTTTTATTACTTTGAAGTCGGGCTTTATCTGCTGGCTTCATTCACAGACTAGCTGGCTGCTTATCACATCTGCGGATCAGCTCTTCAAAGGTTTCGTCTGCAGAGTTGGGATTTATGGGGTCACGTGGAATCCCCCTTGGAGGGAGTTCAGCCCATGGCAGCAGAATTGCGGGGAAGAGCCTTTGTCTGTAGGTGATAGCGGGCAGGGGAGGGGCTCTGCGATGCACGGGCGGTACGTGTGTGCTGTGCGGTGGTGCTGATAGCCAGGGCAGTGCTGGAGTGTGAGCGCTGGCGTGTTTTCAGCACGCAACATATAGAGAATGTGGGAGACCAGAGCGCATTCCTAGACACAGACTCACCGTGTTGCTGCTTCCAGTAGAGCTGTGTGAAATGTCAGAAGGAATTAGACCCGTGCTGGAACTGACAACCACATCGGGCTCTGCAGCACTAGGCTTCACTGCACGTTTACAGCCAAGGCTCAGAAACGGCACAGAATGGGTGGAAACGATGGTGGTTTGTTTGGGGTTTTGTTTTGGATGTGGTGTGGGGGTCTTGTTTTGTTTTCCAGAAAGGTGACTGCCTATGAAATGTCAAAAACCAAGGCAAAGCAACCCGAAAGGCTGCCTGGCTTTCTGCTTACTTCACCAGAGAGCAGCAGCTGTCAAATCTGGGGCCAAGACTGCCTCGTCGCAGCCCCAAGAGTCCCTTGAACAATACGCCAGCTGAACAAGCATCTCCAGTAAAAGCACATTGGAGTATTCTTGCCTCTGGAACACAGCATTACTTTCAGGCTGTGTTCAGGCATGCCAGGCTTTGCTGACTGTACAGAAATGGGAGGGCTCAGTGTAGCAACGTATGTCTGTTGCAGTTCTGAGTGTCTTGCAAACAGCTTTAGCTGTTAAGAGATCATGCTTGGCTTCAGAGCAAGCAAAATGTTAAAACTACATGTGCTGTGAGCAGGAGAGAGGTCTTGTCTGTGCTGATTTACTCTCAGCTTCCATTCAGGAGATTTAAGATTAGGTTAAATGACTGCAATGATCTCTGTTAGAAGAGTGCTGGAAAGAAAGTGATTTTTCTTTGGATGAAGCACACTGAGAGTGTGCTGCAAGAGGATGAACATATTGTAGGTACTGTGAAGGCAGTCTAAGCCCAGTCACTGTGGGGGATTTAGGAAGGTATGTAGTGGTTGGAGGTGCGGCTAGTTGTCTGTCAGACTCTGCCTTCCTTGGCATTCCCCATCAGAATGTGCCCTGCTGCAAAGAGCAGTTTCCCGTTTATGCACTTGGCTCTTCCTTTGGCAAAAGCTGCTATCTTTCAGCACTTAACTAACACAGCCCGTCTTTGGATCAAAGCTCCACCCCTGGTATAGAAGTAGAGCTTATTCGGGCTCTGTAGCCACAGGCTGTGCTCCTGCCATGGCTCCTCCTCCCCTCCCACCCTTGGGTGGAACCAGAGAAGGGAAAACTTGACAATAGTTAGCAGGCAGCAGAGCTTGCAAGAACTATCCCAGAAGCATGTCCAACTAGCCCGGTCACCCGCTATTGTATCCTTCCCAAGGGTGCTGCTGCCACTGAGTGCAGGAGAAGATGGTTATAGGCATGAGAGCCAGGAAGAGTCTGAAAAGGAATGAGCAGCCGAGAGACCTGGCATTCCTTGGGCAGCTTCAGAGAGAGGTGAAGTATCTGAATCAGCGCAAGATTAAATGAGCACAGGCTGCTGCCATGTTGGCAGAACAGAGCTGTTCAGAGGCAGTTGGACAAGTTTGTGGCTGAGCCGGTTTATCCAGTGTTGAAGATGGGAAGTTACTTGTCTGCCCCAGCTTACTTCGCTCCCAAGGATCCCTTTCGGTAAGTCTTGTGCAGGATTAGCAATCAACCTTCCAAGTGTTGCTTTACCCCCTGTAATGCTACCCTACCCTATCCTAAGCAGTCAGCACGTGAGGTGTGAAGAATGTGGGCCAGTGCTTGTGTGCAGGGAACAGCCGGCCTCAAACTGGAATCCTGTCTTGCTTGGAGGAGGCAATGGGAAAGATCCTTACTACCAGCCTCTGCAGCTCCCTGGTACAAGGGTATGGCACCTGTGTTGTGAGACGGTGTCTGTGCAGCCCAGCAAGCAGGCTCCCTTGCAGAGCAACACTACATGTGCCGCTTTACCCTGTGCCCCTGTGCTTTGCTCTGCCACCAGAGGAATGAGATTACTATGGCTGCTGCTGCGTATGTCTCTTCCAAAGCTACTTGTGCTTGGGTATCGTACAGGGTGAGGTGAGTTGCTGCTGTTGGAAGTTCGAGGTGATGTAATCTGCTGTGGGGCAGCGCATAATCTTTTTGAGAAAAGAAATAAGTACTTTGCAGATAACTAGGGACAAGCAGCACACTTCCCTTATGTGGAAAAGATTCTTTTCCTGTGGTACTCTAGTTGTATTAACCAACCATGCTTGGTCCACTTGAACAAATGAGGCTTGAGAAAGGTGACAGCTACAGAATAAGGCTTTGATTGCATTACATAGTGAAAACTGTTAGTGGGGCTGAGCTCAGTACCGTGACTGATGCTGATGTGCTGATAAGGTGAATGGATGGGGAAGGGCACAGCTTGCAGTTTCATTGTCTCCCTCCTATCCCCTCTGCTCCGATTTGCTCATTATTGATCCTGTTCCTGCAAACACTTTTGTACTGCTTTGGGAGTAAGGAACCTTTTGTTAAAACAGTCTAGTATAGGAGTAAATACCACTGTGCAATTACTAAGCTTCTTTAGGAGACTTTCTGAAACAGCATCAGCTTTCAGAAGAAGGAAAGTAAGAAGACTTCTGTTATTTATGTGTAGGGCATTACTGTAGGCCATAGGTACACCTTCTCCTAAGTGTCTCAAAATGGTTTTGCATTGCCAGAGTTTCAACACTCTGTCTTCTAGTACTGAATCTGTTTTCTAGCATCCATTCTTCCTTGTTTAGCATCTCTTGTGAGGCCAGCACACACACCTCTGCTAAACCTTTGGGTTAGCTACAAGCTGGGGTTATGTGTTACTCTGCAGCTTTCTGTCTGTGTGACTGTCCTCTCCCCTGCTCTGCTGCAGAATTGGCACCACAGCTCTTCTGAGCCTGTCTAGCGTTAACTGATCCAGCCTGACAGTATGTGTGAGGGCTGCATTTTGTTAATGAGCCCTTCTCAAAGGGATCTGTCTCTTCAGTGCCAGGGATGTCTTTGCTTCCATGAGGGTATTAGCTTTCATTTTAGATGTAAAAGAGATGCCACATCAATTGACTCTCCCATCTCACTGAAAACCAGGCTGGATACCTGTTGTGACCTGATCCTCCTACCACCCCCCACAAAAACAAAAGGCCATCAAGGAGCTATTTGTGAACTCTTTCTGCACCTGCTGTGCTACAGAGCATCAGGGCTGAACACTGCACTCGGTGCTGTCTGGGATTCCTGGAGGATGGCTGTGGGATGCAGATTAACTTAATCTTTATAGCCACGGCTGGGAAGTGAAGAATCATAATGTATGGGACTGTATAATCAGAGCAGGGCTCTGCAGCTCTGGAAGTGGTGGCTGGACAGCAAGACGGAACGCCTCAGGTATGGCTGTTACCAGTCTTCCAAGAAACATCATTACCCTGCTTTGTTACTCTGTAATAACAAATTATCTAGGAGAAGATAGTGATTTCTAATAAAAGACAGAGGAGCAAGAAATCTTCCTCTTCCTTTCCTTTGGTTGTGGTGACTGGCAAAGATTTGGTGTTTAATACCTGTGGAAGTAATTGTATTTCTGTCTCAGCTGATGCGAGCCCTGGCAATGGCAGTGCTGCAGTGCCACACACTCTGACTGAGGAGGGAAAGGAAGCAGTGATAACTCTTATGACATATCTCTTCATGAGAGTCATGTGGAACAGTCATGTGGTACCTTTATCATTTGGGTGAAGGCACTGAAATAGTTGAAACAGGTCTTGAAGCTGTACCTGTGTGCTGTCAGCCAGTTCTCCACACCTGGCAAATCTAAAGCCTCTTCTCCATTGCAGAATGCATGGCCAGTAACAACAGAAGGTGCTGCTTGGCAATAGGGGCCATGGCCATGTCCTCTTGCTGCAGTCACTAATGAAGCAGCCACTTAGCTCCATTACCAGCATCTGCCCTCTCTGGGCTGGTTGCTTTGTTCCTATTGCCTCATTGCCCTGGGTGGGGTTCTGAGCCTTAAGCTGTAAACTTGTCCTGCCCAGATTTGTTTAATTGCATAGCAAAGAACTGACTGCTTGCTGGCTCCACCCCTTTACCTTCATTTTGCTATGGGTGTGTTGCAAATTAGATACCAGTGCTTATTTCTGGATGGAAGCAAACTAATCAAAGTGCTGTAAGGTTGGAATCAAACCATGAAGAAGTAGGGGAAAGGTAAAGAGAAGACCAACTGTATGTGACCCTCTGGAACCCATCTAAGCAGAGCTGCAGGTCTGTTGCTTTTGCAGTGATTTTAGATTTTTCTTAGGGAGAAAAAAGGAGCTGTTGAAGGTGAAATTGAAGAGGGGTGAGGAAGGGAGGGTGTTGTGCTTAAAACCAGCTAAATAAATAACCCACCTGCTTGGAGAGAACTTGGACAGGCGGCGAAGTCTTGTGGTCTTGGTGGAGCAGTCTCCAGTGTTGCTGTCTGCATCCCAAGTGCAGGTCTGGTCACAGCTCCCTGTTTGAAGATGTAATCACCCTCGAAGCATGCACTGGTACAGGCATGCACGCAGGAGTGGGATAAGTCTGAGGGATCCGATTTGTCCATGCTGAGCCAGATGTTCCTGCCACAAGGTGATAGAAATCTTTGCTGTTAGTCTCCACTTGCTCTTTTCTCCCTCCCACTCACCTACTTGATCACTCAGCGTGGGGTATTTACTGCAAATGAAAGCCAAAGGCTAGTGGGTGAAGGCAAAATGCTTTGCAATGCCTTCTAGGTCTCTTGCATACCATGAGCAGGGTGTAACTATGACAGTGCCCCAAGGCTGAGGCTGTAATGATGCTTGTACCATGTATAGTATAGCAGTGTCAAGTTAGTGCTCCCCCTGCCTCAGACAAAATTGGCAGGGCCTGTTGCACATGCTGGAGTTCCTTCCCATCACTGAAGAAAGGGGGGCTGAGGGGGAACAGGATTTGGAGTTCCTCAGCTGGGAGAATAAACACTGTCAGAGCCAAATCCATTAGAAGGAACAACTTTCCTGAGGGTAGGGAACAGCACTAAATACCTCATGAGGTATGTTTTTCCCTAAAACCATAGGCTGATTACAAGCAGCTTCACCTTGTTGCTTTACAGTCTCTTGAGATGGAGCAAATAACTCTCTCCATGTTGGAGCATGACCAGCTTCACAGATCACTCTCATTACAAGCTGGTGGAGTTTCCAAGGAATGTCTCTGGCACAAATAAGCTTTCAGGCAGCTTGTGAAAGATGAAGTCTACAACATGGTAGACCTGGCAGCATGTAGAATGTGCGCCTCCTCTGCCACTAGCTGACCTCAGTGCATTTGGTGCTTTCTAGGGGGGCACACACCCACTGAAACCCCCACTGTGGTGGTAGGGGTCCCCCTCCAATACAGTACCTGAGACAGCTGTTGGGGTAAGGGACAGAGGAAGCTCTTCCTTCCTCCTTTGGGAAAGCAACTTGCTGACTGCAACGATCCTTGAGGTGTTCCTTTGAACTAGTTATTGGTGACTCACCCGCCTTGGATTCTGTACTCAGAAATTGAGATACCAGGTTAGTAATACCAGATACCAGATTAGTAATATCGGATACCAACACCAGATTAATTTCCCTTTTAAAGTGTGAGAACATGCTGCCCAGGGCTAATGGAATACTCTTTAGTGATGCAACTGCTGTCTGTGCCTTATCTCTCCATTAAGTCACACCTTCACACTGCAGATGTTAAACTCCCTTGCCTGGTGCTGAGGCAGGATTATTCAGGAAGCCTGAAGATCTGGGTTCTGCTTGTGATTTGATAAAACAACGTCTGTAGTAGAATTGCTGCACCTTTTTCCTTGTTTTTTGGGGGGAAGGAAGGGAGGGTAGATAGAGGATTAATAATGGCTGCTTGTTGAACAGGAGCTACCACTGGTATCTGAAGGATTTTGAGACTCCCTTCATGAAATTAGACAACTAGTTTTGTTTTGGGGTTTGTGGTTGTTTTGGTTAGTTGGTTATGTTTGGTTTTGTCTCATGTACTGTCATCAGCAGAAGGAAAGGGAAAGCAATTGGTGGGGAGAGGTGGAAGACTTTCATCACTGTTAACTGGCGAATGCAGTAAGTATGTGGAGTTCAAAGGATGAACTGCTTTGAAAACTCTCCTTCAAATGGACAGTGCTGCAGTTTACCTTCTGGGAGAGGCCTACCTACAGAAGAATAGAAAAGCTTTCCACAAAGCAAAACTGGCTTTGCTTTGCATAGGAAAGTGGATCCTGCCTCTGTCCTGCTTCCTAAACTGGCTGAGGAGATAGATGCTCTGGCACAAGAACAGCATGATGCTATAGAAACACAGCAGAACCCTGTGTGCAGGGCAGCCCTGCAGCTGGAAGCTTGCTTCCAGGAAGAGGGAGAAAGCACAGGAGCAGAATCTGTCATGCAGAATTTATAAACTTACTGGTGCATTTTAATAAATGATGGGATTTGCTTTAAACTTTGGAAGCTTGTCTTTTCCTTTGCATTGGGTGATACTCTCCTTACAAACCTTGTGTCTAGTTCAGTTGAAAAGGCTTTGGGAAATGGAGGGGTTCAGCACATCCATAACTGGAAGAGTTGATGGTGAGCTGCTGCTGAATGTTCTCTGCGTGCAGGAGAGGCCCTTTTTCATTGGTTTGTGACTTGTTGCCAACTGGAACTTTGTTCCTTTGTTTCCTTCAAGGTGCTCTGAATGTCAGGATCCCCTCACTAACTGGTACTATGAGAAAGATGGGAAGCTGTACTGTCACAAAGACTACTGGGGGAAGTTTGGGGAATTCTGCCATGGCTGCTCTCTGCTGATGACTGGACCTGTGATGGTAAGGACTCGGAAGGACTCTTGCCTGGAGGCAGGACATGCCTGCCTCCAGCTCCTCCAGCTTGTCTGGGAGTTGCCATAGCTGTTGAGATAACCAAATAAACTGAAGGTAATAGTCTCTTTACTATGTTAATCTCTAATCAGGGATTAGAAATGAGGCTTGTGTGTGCACCTTCTAGAGAAATATAACTTTTGAACAGGGGTAGCTCTTACAGGAGGGGGTTATGAGGATCTGAAGCGTCAAAGACAGCAAGGTGCTGAAATGCACAAGCATGAGAAGTAGGAAGGTGATTAAGGGGACATCAGTTTCTTTAGCACAGTGGTTCAGTGTCTCCAGGGGTGATTTTCCACTGCACTGCAGAGTCAAATCTCTCAGCCCAGCATAAGCAGCAGGTTCTGATTTTGGGGAAGGTTGCCATCCACATCCCACCTATACTGTGGCCAGAGTGGGTTTCTTGAAGTGTCTTGAAATAGTGCTAGCCCCAGTTGCGTTGAAGCATTGAACTCTGCCTGCACGATATGGAGCTCACTTAAACGTTCCCCTCCTTGCCACAACCTTGCAAATAATTAACCTTTAAAACTGTCAATGAAATACAGCCATCATTTTTCTGAGGCCTAAATAAAAGCAGCATGGTACTCAGTAGTGATTGCTACCTCAAAGGGGAGTACTGAGAAAAGCACAGATGATTTCTCATTGCCTGCAAAAGTCTTTGCAAAATACTGTCAATAAGGGAAGTTCTCATAAGGAAAAGAGAAAAACAGATCAATGAATAAAAATACTCTTTAAAGGTATTTTGTTGTCTCTGTCTCACAACTCGCCTGTTTTTCCCTGTCAGCTGTCTGGTAAAGTATCTGAATTTGTGCTCTGCCTGTCTGCCAAGAGAAAAAAAGCCCTTTCAGCCCTATGAATTCAGGCGTAACGTTAGTTATCTTGCCAAGAGCAACTGAACAGGAAGGTTTAATAGGTTTAATAGCTTGTTTACTAGTCTGCAGCAGACTGTCAACTGGGGTTGATAGTTGAGCAGCTGCCAAATATAGCAGAGGTTCCTGACACAAGCTTTACTTTGCACACTGATGTGTTTGTTTCAGGGAAGATTTGCAAACAGGGTGCCAAGGATGGTGTTCAGGAAAGGTAGAGTGGAGTAATATAACTCTGCAGTAAAAAGATGCCACTTGATTGGAGATCTGTATGAACATATTCAGGAGAGGAAAGCCATAGCTGCATCTGCTGATGGGTTTTGGCCCTGCTAAGCTACTCCCTTTTCTGTCTGTAGGTGGCTGGCGAATACAAGTATCACCCGGAGTGCTTTGCTTGTATGAGCTGCAAAGTGATCATTGAAGATGGGGACACTTACGCACTCGTGCAACATTCCAGTCTCTACTGGTAAGATGGGCTGCACGCTTTGCCCCAGAGCTGCTCCCTGCTGGGAATGTAAGCCATGTTTAGCTGGCTCAGTGTGGGCCAGCTCAATGCTACACTAAGGAATGCCAGGAAGCTGCCTTTTGGGGGAGGGAGGAATGGTGTATGCACTAAAAGCTAAAACTTATGTCAATGAAAGAAGTTAGAAGTGCGAGTTGGGCAGGGGGGATAGGACACTGCTATAATGACTTTCTTCACTTCTTTTAGTGGAAAATGCCATAACCAGATTGTGCTGACACCGATGATAGAAAAACACTCTACTGAGTCTTTGCGTGAGCAGCTGCCTTATACACTGACCCTCATCTCCATGCCAGCAGCTACCGACGGCAAGAGGGGGTTCTCCGTGTCTGTTGAAGGTGGCTGCTCCAGCTATGCCACTGGTGTCCAGGTGAAAGAGTGAGTATGACCATGCTGTGTGTAATGGACATGTCTGTGCTGAGGGAGCTGGTAATTCTGCAGCACTGCTGTCCTGCCGGCTGCTTTAACCGTGGAGGGGACCTGTCTCAGCCCAACAGGGACATATGTTTGTGTTTGGTCTCCATTTCACTCTTGTGATGTCCACAAGTGATAACTTTATTTCTCAGAGCTGTATTCTTCACCAAACACAAAACATTCGGAGAATTGTTTCGGACTAACAGTTTTTGTCATTGGGCAAATGAAGAGCAGCTCAGACCTACGCGCTTGGTCTAACAGTAGCTCCCTGCGTTGGTAGATTGGCATGGTTTTATTTCAAAACACCAATATGAAGGGAGCATCAGAGATCAAATGTTTTTTGTCATTTTGGCTAAAGTGACTTCATACCCACGCTGTAATTCCCATGTTTAGAGTGAACAGGATGCACATCAGCCCAGATGTCCGGAACGCCATCCACCCTGCAGATCGTATCCTGGAGATTAATGGAGCTCCTATTCGTACATTACAGGTGGAGGAGGTGGGTAGAGTTCTGTTCTGAAGCCTCCTTCTCTTCTGCCTTCCTACAGCTTTTCTGTTTCTTGGCACTGTTCTCCCACCCTATATACAGTGTGTGTACACCCATAGTACTCATGCTGGAAGTAGGAATAAGCATGAAGACAAGCTTTGCTACCCCTTGCAGCTGAAGAGGAAAATGTACAGCTGGAAACACAATTAGGATGCAGTTCTGATTTTGTGGCATTCAAACAAGAAGGGAGGTAATAAAAGTGTAGGGCTGTGACATCTCAGAGGACAGAGAGGCTGTGAAGCATCTTCATATATTGCTAGTGAAGTCCACTGTTCTGATCATTTTAGAGGCAGCTGCTAATAGACAAAGCCTCAGCTGATCCTAGAGATGAGTTTCTCATTGCAAAAAAGGTATTTGATGTCTGTATTTACAAGTAAAAGTATTTGATGTCTGTATTTATGCAGATAACAGGTGATGCTGAAAGAGTGCAGTGAGAGTACCGTTGCCTTCACTATGCACGGGGTTTATTTACTGTCGGTGCTGAAGAGGAGCACAGTAGAGACCTCTCAGACAAATCTCCATGTAGCTTTCGCAAAGCAGGTTTTTGCAGCCTGTTCAGGATGGAAGCTTGCATCGTTTAGCAACGCTTCTGAGATGGGTTGGAAAAAAAGTGTTCTGTAGAACCATAGAACACCAGGTTGGAAGGGACCTGCAGGATCAACTGCTCCAGCCTTTCTTGGCAAACGTGTGGTCTAGACAAGACGGCCCAGCACCCTGTCCAGCTGAATCTGGAAAGTGTTCAGTGCTGGGGAATCCACCATTTCCCTGGGGAGATTATCCTAATGGCTTATTGTTCTTAATTGTCCTCTTGAGTTCAATCTGAATCTCCCGGGAGTAACTTGTACTCATTACCCCTCATCTTTTCCTTGTAATTCCTTGTAAAAAGGGAGTCTCCATCTTGTAGCCACCTTTTAAATACTGGAACATGGTCATCAGTTCTCCCATAAGCCACCTTCTCTCCAGGCTGAAGAACCCCCCCTCTCTCAGCCTTTCCTCATATAGCAGGATGCCCAGTCCTTGGATCATCTTTGTGACCCTTTTCTGGACCTTCTCTACCCTGTCCACACCTTTTCTGTACAGGTCATTTGTAGTGACCAGAAAGGAGAGGATCTGAACAGCGTAACAACTTCTGTATTACTACCCTGATCTGCCTGCATGCAACTAAACCACAACTGTGGAGTGCTGTCACTGAACTCTCTACTCTGATTGCTGAGGGGCTTTCTGCTGCATCTCCTCTGTCGCCTGTCATTGTGTTCCTCCTGTGTGCTATCATCTTGTGCTTTGGCTTGATTTCAGGTGG